TAAAATGATTATTATTATATTTCCTTGTTCATGATAATTGTCTGTTATTCATGCTATAATTGTGTTATACGGAAATCATAATACATGTGTGAATACATAGACCATAACATGTCCCTAGTGAGCCTCTAGTTAACTAGCTCGTTGATCAATAGATAGTCACGGTTTCCTGACTATGGACATTGCATGTCATTGATAACGGGATCACATCATTAGGAGAATGATGTGATGGACAAGACCCAATCCTAAGCATAGCACAAGATCGTGTAGTTTGTTTGCTAGAGCTTTTCCAATGTCAAGTATCATTTCCTTAGACCATGAGATCGTGTAACTCCCGGATGCCATAGGAGTGCTTTGGGTGTACCAAACGTTACAACGTAACTGGGTGACTATAAAGGTATACTACAGGTATCCCCGAAAGTATCTGTTGGGTTGACACGGATCGAGACTGGGATTTGTCACTCCGTATGATGGAGAGGTATCTCTGGGCCCACTCGGTAATGCATCATCATAATGAGCTCAATGTGACCAAGTGTTTGGTCACGGGATCATGCATTACGGTACGAGTAAAGTGACTTGCCGGTAACGAGATTGAACGAGGTATTGGGATACCGACGATCGAATCTCGGGCAAGTAACGTACCGATTGACAAAGCGAATTGAATACGGGATTGATTGAATCCTTGACATCGTGGTTCATCCGATGAGATCATCGAGGAGCATGTGGGAGCCAACATGGGTATCCAGATCCCGTTGTTGGTTATTGACCGGAGAGTCGTCTCGGTCATGTCTGCGTGTCTCCCGAACCCGTAGGGTCTACACACTTAAGGTTCGGTGACGCTAGGGTTGTAGAGACATTAGTATGCGGTAACCCGAAAGTTGTTCGGAGTCCCGGATGAGATCTCGGACGTCACGAGGAGTTCCGAAATGGTCCGAAGGTGAAGATTTATATATAGGAAGTCCAGTTTCGGCCATCGGGAAAGTTTCGGGGGTAATCGGTATTGTACCGGGACCACCGGAAGGGTCTCGGGGGTCCACTGGGTGGGGCCACCTACCCCGGAGGGACCCATGGGCTGAAGTGGGAGGGGAACCAGCCTCTGGTGGGCTGGTGCACCCCCCATGGGCCTCCCCCTGCGCCCCCCATGGGCCTCCCCCTGCGCCTAGGGTTGGAAACCCTAGGGGTGGGGGGCGCCCCACCTGACTTGGGGGGCAAGTTCCCCCTTGCCCCCCCCTTGGAGATTGGATCTCCTAGGGCCGGCGCCCCCTAGGGGTCCTATATATAGTGGGGGAGGGAGGGTAGCCGCACCCAAGCCCTTGGCGCCTCCCTCTCCCCTCGTAACACCTCTCTCTCTCGTTGGAGCTTGGCGAAGCCCTACCGAGATCACCGCTGCTTCCACCACCACGCCGCCGTGCTGCTGGATCTCCATCAACCTCTCCTTCCCCTTGCTGGATCAAGAAGGAGGAGACGTCTTCCCAACCGTACGTGTGTTGAACGTGGAGGTGTCGTCTGTTCGGCACTTGGTCATCGGTGATTTGGATCACGACGAGTACGACTCTATCAACCCCGTTCTCTTGAACGCTTCCGCTCGCGATCTACAAGGGTATGTAGATGCACTCCCCTTTCCCTCGTTGCTAGATGACTCCATAGATTGATCTTGGTGATGCGTAGAAAATTTTAAAATTCTTCTACGTTCCCCAACAACTAGATAGTATTGGTGATCTTAAAGCGCCTAGTCCGGATGGTATGCAGCGGTCTTTTATAAGAAATATTGGGTTACGGTTGGGCCTAAGGTTACAGAGGAAGTGCTGAAAGTTCTGAATGGTGCCCCAATGACGGAGAGTTGGAATGATACATGTGTTGTCTTGATTCCTAAGGTGCAAAATCCGAAGACGATGAAGGACCTGATACCAATAAGCTTGTGTAATGTTTTGTACAAGCTGATCTCGAAGGTGTTGGCAAATAGGCTTAAAGGTATCCTTCCTGAGATCATCTCACCTAATCAAACTGCTTTTGTTCATGGACGCCTAATTACGAGAACATCCTGTTGGCATATGAAGCAACTGATTACATGCATAAAAAAGAAGAGGGAAAGACGGGGTTGCTGCTCTTAAACTCGATATGAGTAAGCCATATGATAGAGTGGAGTGGCAATTTTTGGAGGCCGTGGTGAGAAGAATGGGTTTTGCTGAGCGGTGGATTCAGATGATCATGAACTGTTACAGCAGTTAAATATCGTTTTCGGATAAATGGGAAGCTCACGGATGAGGTGATTCCAGAGAGAGGATTGAGGCAAGGGGATCCCATATCCTCCTATCTCTTTTTGATTTGTGCAGAGGCCTTTTCTAGTTTGTTGAATCATGCGGAGGAGACCGGTACATTGGAAGGTGTAAGTATATGTAACCAAGCCCCGAGGTTCAATCATCTATTGTTTGCTGATGACTCATTGATTCTGTTAAAAGTAACCCATGAGAGTCCACATCATCTGCAAAATATTCTAAACCTATACGAGGATTTTTCGGGGCAGACTATAAATGTTGAAAAATCTTCCATCACTTTTAGCCGGAATACTAGCGAACCGGCAAGGAGAGTGATGAAGGCTGCATTAGGAGTAAGTAGAGAAGGCAAAGGAGATCGTTATCTAGGTTTACATGTCCATGTTGGTCAATCAAAGACTCAGACCTTTGCCTATCTCAAGGAGAGAATCTGGAAGAGACTTCAAGGGTGGAAGGAGAAGATTCTGTCAAAGGTTGAGAAGGAAGTTCTTGTGAAGGCATGTGCTCAGTCTATACCCACGTTTGCTATGACGTGTTTTGATCTTACCAAGGGTTTTTGTGAGGAATTGAATATGATGATCTGTAGGTTCTAGTGGGCACAACAAGAGAATGAAATGAAGACTCATTGGTTAAGTTGGGAATTTTTGACAAGAGCAAAGGAGGATGGAGGTCTGGGGTATAAGGAGTTGCACACTTTCAATTTGGCGATGTTAGCAAACAAGGATGGCGACTCTTGACCGATCCTAATTCGCTTTGTGCTTGGGTTTTGAGAGCTAGATATTACCATGATGGTGATGTACTAAGCACCAAGCCTAAACCAGGAATTTCATATGCTTGGCGGAGTATTTTGAAAGGAATCACAGTACTTAAGGATGGCCTGGTTAAACGGGTCGACAACGGAGAAGAAACTGATATTTGGGTAGACCCGTGGCTACCACGAGATGACTGTAGGAAGCCTATAACGCCGAGGGGTCAGATAGTATTACAGAAGGTGTATGAACTAATTAATCCAGTAACCGATACATGGGATGGCGTTTTGGTTCGGGAGCTGTTCTGGGCGCCTGATGTGAAGGCCATTTTGGCACTGCCCTTGTTTGAGGATTTCGTGGACTCGTGGGCTTGGTATTTTGCGCCTAATGGACAGTTTTCCGTCAAAACAACATATCACATGATTAGGGATAATCAACAACGGCAGGCTCGACGGCAGACGGGTGATTCAAGCACGTGTGTAGACAAATTTAGATGGAGCTCAATCTAGAAGATCCAATGCCCTGAGAGAGTTAAGCAGTTTTTCTGGAGACTTGCTCATAATAGCCTTCCGCACCGTCTGAGTATTTCTCGGCGGGGCATGGAAGTGGATACACTTTGCCCAGTTTGTGAGCCTAAGGATGAGGATGGGGTGCACATTTTCTTAAGATGTAAACAAGTCAAACCACTGTGGAGGGAGTTGCAGTTGGAGCAAACTAGAATTCCGTTTCTTGATGAGGTGGGTGCGAAGAAGCTAGTCACCAGAATCCTAACACTGCCAGAGGACAAAAGACTCGTATGTATCACAATGCTCTGGGTGTGGTGGGATACAAGAAATAGAAAAAATGCAGGTGAGCCGCTGAGAAGCTCCACATCCATTGTGAAGAGGATTAGGAGTGCAGTGAAAGATGCAAAGCTTGTTGGTGTGAGGAAAAATTCTATAACGATGCCAGAGAGTAGTTGGGTACCTTCAGAACAGAATGCACTAAAGATTATCATCGATGGAAGTATGAATGATGACCTAGCAACAGAAGGATGGGGTTTCATTGTCCGTGACAGTCAAGGACATGCCCTTGGGGCAGGCGCTGGATACATGCTGCATGTCCAAGACCCTCTACATGCAGAAGCAATTACGTGTCTTGAGAGCTTGCAGGCTGCCCAGGCACGAGGTATATCAGAAGTCCACGTTGAAACAGATGCATCCCAACTTGTGCAAGCGCTTCGGTCAGACGACCAAGATATGACGATAAATGATGTTATCTTCAAGGAGATTAAATATTTTACTCGACTAAATTTTAATTTTTTCCGTATTACTTTCTGCCCCAAGAGCATGTAATAAAGTTGCAGACGCTCTAGCGAAGTATGGTGCAGGGGCAAGGCTACCATTCCCAGCTTTATGGTCAAATGATGCCCCTGATTTTGTGCAAAACTTGATAGCCAGCGATGCTGCTGTGCTTTTTGGTTAATGGAATATACTCTATATGATTTCAGTTAAAAAATGTATTATATTATGGGACGAAGTAGTACAATACCGCATCTACTTGTCATAACATCCATCCAATCACCGAAGAGGCCAAGAAACCAAGAACCATGGTCTGCTAGGTATAAGGCTGGTCACAATGGCCAAGAACATAAGCTAGTAACTTCACACTTCCCTAGACTATGTTACTACCTTCATAGTGGGTAGAAACATCTATGCAGTGTCATGCAACGATGTATTTATTAGGTTATAGACTCATTGTTTTTTGGAGTGTGTGATGTTCCGGTAACTTAGCTAGTTACCACAAGCACCTCTCTCTTCATTAAATACGTGCCACATAAGCAAAGTTGTATTGAAGTGTGTGATGTTACTCCTAAGTTCCTCCCCACTGTGACCAGCCTAACATGTGGGGAATCGACTGGCAATTCATGGCGCCCTAGGAGGCAAACACCATGGGAAGTCACAGAGGGCAAGTGCCAAGAATCGACAAGCGGCAGTAAGCGATGGACGCGGCGCCCGTCGGACACCTGGGCTACGACCAGGTGCTGTCCATCCTGCGCCTCCTTCCAGCCGAGGCCGTGCTCTCCTTCGCCGCCACCTGCCGCGCCTTTCGCGACTGGGCCTCCTCCGACGTGCTCTGGGAGGCGCTCTGCCGACGCGACTGGGGGGCACGCGCCGCCGCCGCGGCGCTCGCGGACTGGCGGTGCGGCGTGCCATGGCGCCGCCTCTACGCCGAGGTCGCCCGAGTAAGCGCCCTGCAGGCGCGCCGGCTCCAGGTGAAGGGCACCTCGCCACGGCCCCGTGCGTCGCACTCCATCAATCTCGTGGCCGGCTGGCTAGTAGTCTTCGGCGGTGGCTGCGAGGGAGGTAAAATCCAGCCGTTTAATTTTTTCAGTCTATTCTTGTTATCAAATTGCTTTCATTGGGCTTCGTATAACATCGAGGAATTTGATCATCTGGGGTTGTGTCGGAACTAAGAACTGTAGTTGATTTCGTTGTGAAAAATTGCTCACAGACTACAATTTTTTCCAGAGATCCTTATTATGCCATAGTAGTGTCGGTGTTGGTTAAGTTAGCACTACCTCCGTCCGGAATTAGTTATCACTGAAATGGATGTATCTAGAAGTATTTCAGTGCTAGATACATCCTTTTGAGCGACAAGTAATTTTGGATGGAGGGAGCATGAGATATTTGCTATGTTTGTCCAAGATTAAGATAAATAATCGGAAGACAAGTTTTACTTTTGTTAGGTTAATGACAAAACATGTGCAATTGTTTGGAGAGCCTAGCTGCAGCTTAGCTGAGTGAAATTTTATATTGAGAGGAAATTTTTGATTATTTGGAGAGTATTGTAGTATTTGATTGGATTTATAATTATGAGACTGTTGTCCCACATTGGCTATGGGAGGAGGCAGAGCAAGACTTAAAGGGGCGAAGCTGTCCCCTCGCAATGGACCTTGGGGCCAGGACGCTAACCTAGCAGGCTTGGGATTGCGTAACAAGCGTGATTCAAGACTATTTGACCTAATACAGAAATAATAGGGAGGCTACACAATCATAGCTCACATCTCTACAGATCACGAGTCCTGTTTCTATGCACCTCTACAGAAAACTTGCACAAATCTTAATAGCATAAGAGTTACAAGAATGTAGGGGCAAATATGTACCAGTTACAGAAATAGTTGCAATGTGGCTCTAAATCCCATTGTTGTAAAAGAAGATCGAACCAACAACAAATTTAGCTCCTTTGTCAGATATTATGTATTGTTCCTATTATGTCCATTCCTTTTTGAATGCATTATCTCCCTGAAACTAAGACACATGGTCTATTGTTCTTGCTGTGGCAGCCCATCTATCTAGTATGTATTGGTTGACTTTGATATGTGTGGGTCACTCTGCATGATCGTGTTTGTGTCTTGGTTAAAGTTCTGCTACTTGGTACAACTCACTCGGAGCAGATATAGGTTGGCTTCATAAGACGATAAAAAGTTGTAATGAGTAGGCACTACTATTGATTCATAAGTGGGCAAGGTGTATGATGTTGGCGTGGGGCACCATTAGAAAGATCACAGAAAATTGTTCCTACATGCATGAATTAGTAGTAAAACCTTTTTCTTATCGAAAAAGTAGTACGAGTTTTACGGACTAGTTTTGTTTTAGCATAAAATAAATGTCAAAACTAAGATTACTAGTTGGCTACAAAGTTTAATCTTCAGCGTTTGTTTGCTTTTAAATGTTCAAAGTTTTACGAGGGGTGTAACAAAGCAAATACTCACACACTGCTGCAGCAACACGGAAACCAATATATGAGATTTATACTAAAGTTAAAAATCTTGGAATGTTTAAATGACACCTTTAGACCTATCTAACTTTTTTTTTACTTCATTTGTCGTTACTGATTATTGTTGGTTTTTGCTGTTTACCATTTTCATCTCTATGTTTGCCAATGTTTGTTCAGATTCAATATTTATCTTTTGGTCTTTTTAATTAAATCTAAACACCACACTATGTTGGGTTAAGTTGATTGATTGCCTTGTTTAGTAGGTTGAATATGAACTGTATTACCTTGGCCTGGTAGGTTTCGAAATATGCAAAATCTGTCCTAAATCACAAATAAAGTGTTGGATTCATTAGATGTCTTTTCTCCTGTGAAATTTTTATGGGTGTGTGGATGTTTCTGCTCAAGTATTAAAGAAGTTTTTACTAATAAAGATGTTAATTTGTGAAACAGATGGATTTTGTTCCCCCAAAGCCAGTGTCATGCTACTATTCTGCCAATACATGTGTACCTTGGTAGAAATGCTAGATAAGTGATACCTTATAATTAGCAATTTGAAGTTTCACTAGTTCAATTGGTTTAGATTATCTATTACAGTGAGCCTTATATATAACGGTGGTTTCCATCGGTTATAGTGTTGCGTTGACTTGGATACTGACCAAAAGCGTGGGCAGAAGTAACAGGTTCTACCATGTACACACAACTAGTGTTGAAAAAAACACACACACACAACTAAACGTGATACAGTAGAAATGTCAAAGTTCAATCCAGCAGCATTTTAGTTACTCATTCTGTTGATAGTGTGAGCTCTCCTCAGGATGAGTTTGCATCTGCACATCTCTTTTCAGATGCTTATTAGATAAACTAGTAATTCTTCAGACAACTATTCCTGTTTTTAGCTTTGCTGAATTTTCTTTCTGGACTTATGTTTGAGGTTTGCACCTTTTCTCTGTCTATCTGTACATAACAACGGTTGCATTATGTTACAAATCTTTGTAGAAATCAGCTATCTAATGTTTGTTCTGATTTATTGCGATCTCGTATGCTTTCTGATATTCTCTTTTGCTCTAGTTAGGTCGTCATCTTGATGATATCTGGGCAACATATGTTGGAAATAGAGCTGGAACTAGATCATCCAATTCACTTACCTGGCAGCAATTGGCCTCTGGTACTCCAAGTGGTCGTTTTGGTCATTCATGCATTCTCGTTGGTGATGCACTAGTCCTGTTTGGCGGGATTAATGACCGTGGGCTTCGTTTGAATGACACATGGATAGGCCAAATAATCTGTGAAGAACCTTGCAGGATGAGGATCTCATGGAGACTGCTGGAGATAGGCCCCCTGGCACCATCTCCTCGTGGAGCCCATGCAGCCTGCTGCATAGATGATAAGTTCATTGTGATTCACGGTGGGATAGGGGTGCATGGAAGCCGGCTTGGTGATACATGGCTTCTTGATCTCTCCGATGGACTTCGATCTGGCAGTTGGCGCCGAATGAGGAATACTGGACCTTTGCCTTCAGCTCGTTCTGGCCACACCTTAACTTGGATTGGTGATAGGCGCATGGTTCTTTTTGGTGGTAGAGGATCAGAATATGAGGTCCTTAGTGATGTCTGGCTGTTTGATATTGGTGATCATTTGCTGCAATGGAAAGAGCAAAAGTACGATTTGTCTAGTATTCTTGGTGAATTGCCTTCTCCCCGGGCTGGGCATTCAGCAACATTTCTCTTTGGTGGCAAGATCCTTGTATATGGTGGGGAGGACAAAGAAAGACGGCGGATGGATGATTTCTGGATCTTAGATATACCAGCTTTACTTCAGTTTGAGTCAGGTAACAGGAAAATGGCAAAGAGGATGTGGAAAAAACTAAGGATAGATGGCCAATCCCCGAATTGCCGGTCCTTCCATGGGGCATGTGTAGATACTTCTGGTTACTGTGTGTATGTTTTTGGTGGAATGGTTGATGCACTTTTGCATCCTGCAGAATCCTTGGGCTTGAGGTTTGATGGGCAACTGTATCAAGTGGAGCTTGTGCTGCATCTCTAGAATCTGTATGATGTTTTCCTATAAATATTTTCTTAGAGATAACTGTTTAGATCTAATAATGCAGTATTGTGTAGTTTTTCTTGTCAGAACACCTGGATAGTAAATCTGAAGATCTCGCTCACAGTATTTAGATGATCAAGATCTCTTTATTTATAATTTCAGCTGCCACAATTTGGACATTGTGATGATGCTGAAAGATGGTTCTTCCCTGTCAAGTGCGTATGGGTGCAATACCTGTCACTGATCTCTGAAAGCAACGGTGATGTAGAGCGGGTTTCTCTACATATGTGTTGAAATGTACATCCTTTCTCAGATTCATATGTTAACAAAGAATGTCTGTCAATACCATCTGGGAAAGATTGCTACTCCCTCTGATCCTTATTACAGTACTTGTGATGACTTCTCATTATCGTTGTGAAAAGAAGGATTAGTTTATCATTTAGTTTATCATAAATGATAAACTAGAATGACATAATTGATGATTAGTATGCACCATCTGGGGCTTGCTCTGCAGCTTTTCATCTTGGACAGAAATTGTGGATGGATGATTAGCATGCATCAACTGGGTCACACGCAAGGAGCATGTTGTGTTGAACTGTTGTAACATCCCAAAATTCTAAATTTTGGAATGTTAATTACTTAAATAGAATTAATTTAAAATTGGCTTGTGTTGCTCGTTGTTTGTAAATTTTGATTAGGATTTGAAATTTTTGGTGTTAAATAAATATTTTTTCGAGAGGGAATAAAAGGACTTTCCCAATTTTACATTTGCATCTTATTTTGGATTTATTGAATATTCAAATGAGATGGAATAAAAATGGCTTCCTGAATATTCCTTTCGGCCTTATTTTGAACTTTGAGAATATTCATAATATTTCCAATTCATATATGAGAGGATGACATGACTTCCTCAAAGAATGATATTGGTGAATAATTGAATATTCTCTTATTTTGGTTTCAACATTTAAAACAAATCCAACCAATTTTTTTTGAGAGAAGGTAATATGACTCCTTCAATACAAAAGAGTTGGAAATGATTTAAATCTTATTTGAATTTTTCCCCGGAGTTGAAAAGAATGTTTTTATTGGACATTTTATAACTGTCAAATTAAAATTTATGAAAATATTATATGTATTTTATATAAGTATTTTGGACTGAAAAAAATGTTCACTATGCTATATGTAACTCTATTTGTTTTTTTGTGGGTGTTCTGTTTTTTTATATATATAATGTTTCGGTACAATTTTGGAGCCAAAATGATTTCTGTAAAAAAATAACAGACTAAAGGCTAAATTCTTCTTGCGCGCAGTGCAGCGCAGCAGGCCAGACCACTTCAGCGCAGCGCAGCAAGCAGTAGCGCCCAAGGCCCAGCCCGACAAGTGCGCAGCATGCCAGCCCACCTCACTGAGGCTGCCCGCCCAGGTCAGCGCCACACCCCACCTGTCTTCCTCCCCTTGGTTCTCTCCGAGCGACCGACACCCCGACACTCCGACCCACTTTACCTCCTTCCACCTCCCGATCGGTCTCCTGTTCAGGGACGATAGCGCCGCCACGACAGGGACCACGCTCGATGCGCCCGATCCCTAACCCCCTCTCTAATCTGAGTGCACCGAGCTGTCAGTGGCCTCCTTCTTGTCGCTTGGGCTGGGCCTGGGCCGCTCAAGAGCTACCGGCCAACCACTACAAATACAAGAGAGATGGCCTCGATGGAGTTGTCTTGGATGGATGGGCTTCGGCCTTGGCCAGGCGTGTGCGTTCCTTCTTCCGTAGAGCTCGTCTTCCTCCTCTGTCTCCTCCCTCTCTCTGGGTCTTCCTCTTGTAATCCTTGAATCACAACTAGGTCATGGTGATTGAGTGAATCAACTAGTTGGATCCTAACAATTGGTATCAGAGCTGTTCGATCATCCTCCGAAATTCCTCAAAATCTCCACACATTTTCCCCTCCAACCAGTGCCTCCAACCTATTCGACAGTATGCCAAGCCACAAATTCGTCTGCTCCGAAGGCGTTCTTCACGCCCGGATCAGCGATGTTCGTGATGTGGTTATCGTCGAGTCGATTCGACAGTTGTTTTGCCGCTCCGATGATGGATATGTGATCTGTGCATACGAGTGGGTGGTGGACGGGATGTACGGCGTGGAGGCGTATGCCGAGTTCCGGTCTCGATGGAGGGCGGCCCGAGCTCGAGATGCCCTGGATGGCCATGCTATCTACGATGGCTGTTGCATCCTTGCTGTCGACCACGTCCCGCCAGTCTACACCACCATCACCATGCCGGATGACAACTGGATGGCGCCCTCGTACTTCTACGACGACACTCCCTACGTGGAGTGGGCTGCAGCATTGGCCGCAGTCGAGCGCCATGATGAGGCGTCTGCTACTTCCACCGATGACCTCCAACTCGAGGTGTCCATGGACGCCATCAGCGCGACTCCATTCGAGCTCGCCGCGCCTATGGCGCCAACTCCGTTCGCGACCACCGACAATTCCGTCCTGGAGTTCAGTGTGACTAACAAGGTGCTCGAAGTCGACGACACCAACGAAGCTGCTGCGACGCCCACCACTTGTTCGACAGGGTGCCCAAGCTACGACACGCCCGAGGAGTCGGCGCTCACTTCGTCCACGACACTATCTTCATCCATGGTCGTCGGCAACGTCGCTCCAGAGCTTGCTGCACCTGTACGTGGCATCTATCATAATACTGACAGAGACGACCCAATGGCGTCGTGCCTAGTTCCCTGGAGTGCACCTACATCCTTCACAATGCCACATGAAGCCTCACCAATGCTTCTGCGTTGGTTGTTCCCTATCCTTGATCTGGATAACTTTGCACCCACTAGGTGTTCGACAAAGGTATCTATCAAGAGCACATTCGCATTAACGTCCCAGTTCACTCAAGGCACTGACAGTAGGGTTGAGTTGCATCCGTTACCATGGCCATCCTTTGCATGCATTCCGATATGGAAGATGGCGCAGCTGGAAGCATTGGGGATCCTTGTGAAAATTTCTTCAGCTGGTATGACTGTGCAACAATCAGTTGGTGAGAGCAGTCCCATTCTTCTGTACACTGATAGATGGCTGCTACAGATTCCTTCTACTTCAATACTACAAGGGCTTCCAAGTGGTTCTGCAACCAAAATTCTTATGGAAATATTCTCAGAAGTTATGAGCTCTAGGAGTTGTTCTATGCCAAGTGCAAAACCTGGAATGCTTAAGAGGAAACTAGGCCGGGGTTCTTATGAAAATGCTGCTCATGCTGTGATTGGGAGTTTGTGTTGTGCACTTCAGAGCGGAGAAATTCTAGTGGAGAGAGCACATGGGCATCTGTTTGCTGGAGTACGTTGGAAATCACTGTCGTTTTCATGGCTACTACCCCAAGTGGTGTTGGCACTGAGTCTGCAAGTGTACGAGCATCTGAACAAATGCAGTTTACTAAAACATGATATACCAGTGGTGCTCCATATTTCTCGTGGAAGTACTGTTCTGTGCATTCTTGTGCATCTAGAGGTGTCCATTTGCAGTTTGGAGATTGATAGGTCATCAAGAGATATAATTGCAGAATTACATTCGAAGAAACCATGGCCTTCTTGGACGACCTACTTCTATAGCCACCGGTGGAAGTATCCTGGTCGGCTGGGCTCCGGAAAAGAGGTGGTTCTCAATTCAAGAAGGAGAATAATTGCAATTTGTTACAAAGCTATTGTTGTAACATCGAACAGTCATCACAGTACAACAGTACTTCCAAGGATAATGAGAGAAGGAACAATCATCTTGCAATACTCTGGAAAATTATATGTGAAGCGGTACTCCAGTTGCAAGGGGAGCCTACTCGAACATGCTATGCCTTTTACTTCTGAATATTTTGTATGGGGTCTAGTGAAAACATCTGGTGCTTGTTCCGATTTGGAGGAAGTGGGCAGGCCAATAGCAAGTCAGACAAACCACCAAACCATATTGGCACTCGTGAGATTCTCATGAATCAGCATGCTGGGCTGGGTCTTACACTTCCTGGATTTCTAATATTATGGCCAGATCTCACACCAGTTAAGATTACTCCATTGCATTATAGGAAACTGAGCTCTTGGAAGTATCCAATGCCAACTTTGCATCACATGTTGTTGAAGAGGCAAACAAAGGCATATTATGAGATTATTATGCGAATAGTTGGCTTGAAAGGAGCTCTGCTAGCTTATTGGTTTACTGTCAGTTCGTTTTGCTTCGCTGCACAGAGTGAGCTTGTTCATGTTCATGCAATTGCTGTTGGAGATAATCTGTTCAATGCTAACGAGGCATTCGTTCAGTGGTGGGCTTTCCAGTATTACATGGCCGACATCAATCTTCCTCAGTCAACAACGATAAGGCTTATAATTGTTGTTGGTTCTTCCGAGATAAGTACAATTACTCATCATCTGGTTTTGCTTCTCCCTTGGGATCTGGGTCACAATTCTTCTCCTGCTGGTGTCGGTCATCTGGCGGCAAGTAACTTTTCACTCCATTTATCGCTACTTCCTTGGAATCTCGGTCACATCACAATTGCAAGGGTTCTCAGCTGCCCTTGTCCTACTGATGGCAATGAATTCATGCATATTCCGGAGTTACAGCAATTAGCAAATGTGTTGTTTGGTACTGAAAAAATGGTACTGTCAATTTGGCTCCCGGAGTGTCCTATGAACTTTTGCGGCCGTGGCCTCCACCACTTAGAACAAATGTCAGGGATGTGGGTCTAATGGATGAGAAGGGACTGGAAATCATTGTGGCGTCAGTAGGGCAGAAACCTTGGTTTTGCTTCTCCCTGGAAGAAAATTTCAGCCTACCACATGTTCCTACAAGAGTCCTGTGTGTAACCTCACCATGGGACAATGGTCTACTCACGTTGATGGCTATTACAAGAGGAGAGTTCGCAATCCTGGCCTCTTTCCATGAGGCATACCTGTGCCATGTCTTCCCATCATCTGGACAGTACACTTATGAAAATGGCGTGGCCACAAGCAAGCAGTATG